GTACCCATATCATAAAGTCTTTTCTATAATTTTTCTTTGTCATCTGATTCAAGATTTGCAATTATTAACTTCCGCATGATGCTCTACTAATTCGATCCCTAACATATCTGATGTTCTGTGTATCACATATTCGAAATCTAATAGAAACTATCCAAGTTTTAGGTAAGAAGACAGAAAGCTTTGATTTCCAAGAACAAAAAGTCCGTTGGTAAATTAATTGATTGCAGTCCAACAACTTGTATATACACTGGAGTTTCATTAATGGAATTTGATGGAGGAAGTAAGTAATACTAAAATCTGCAAATATCAAAGCAACTATTGCTGAATAATTTTTTTTTTGTTTTTTTGGCTCGGTTACACTGCTCATTTCCCTTGTTGTTTTTACAAAAAATTGCATCCTGTCAGGTACCATTTTCAAGAGCAATTCAGACATAAACGCAGAAAGTCCTTCACCTGATCCATTAAACAAGCAGCCATCTCCAAATCCACCTTCTGCCTCATCAGGGACTACGATTGGAGAAAGTCGTGCTGCCACAAGTCTTAGTGTAATGCCAAAGCATGATGAATCAATCACATTTCAAGCCCCTAATACAGTGATGACGACATGGCCACCACATCCATCATTAAGCCCTGCATTTACTTACTCACTTAGAAAGAAAAACGCAGAGTCCAGCGGCCCTGGCTGCATGTCACCTCAACAACACTATACATCAAACATAATGCATTACTGTGAAATCTGTGGAGTTCACTGTTCTGGAGCTCTATGTTTTGAGCTTCACTTGAGAGGTCAAAAGCACAAGGTAAAACTGGAATGCTGGCGAGGTCCAAGCATCAAGGAAAGAAATAAACTAGCAAGATGTGAATTGTGCAAAATTTTCTGCCAGGATGAAACTTTATTAGAGATGCACCTTAAAGGTCAGAAACACAAGGCTAAACAACATGAGATGGAACATGGAGAGAAGATTAAAGATGAAAACCGCGGGCAACAACAATTCTGGTGCGAATTATGTCAAGTTCCATGCATGAATGAAGAAACTTTCACATTACACCGCAAAGGGAAAAAACATCGGAGACGACTGTATGTTCTTGAGGAGAAAAAGAAAGTTGAAGCCCAGCGACTCTGCCATGCCTAACAGAACGTGAACTAAGTTATAGATCTCAATGTAGTTAGAAATTTTAAAAGTTCTGTTTGTGCTCCTTACTTTATGCTGATTATATACAAGTACACTGGTAGTTCTCTTTTACTTGTCATGTATACTAAAAATAGTTATTTTTTAATATTTGTAAATTTAAAAAATTAAGAGAGAATTAATTATTTTTTCTCAACTTTTCCTTAGTTCTAATTATTCTAGAATTAAGAGACACGTAAATAGACAAAGTAAGAATTAATGGGGATATATTAATCAATTTACACTCCAACTTAAATTTTTTATCCTGACAACTAAAAAAAGAAAGGAGGAAGTAATAATATAAGAATTTTAGTTACTCTGTCTGCATTCTAGACATGTTTTGACCCCAGCATAACTTGTTTAACAATGTGACATATTTTGACAAAAGTTTTGCTGGGGAAAATGCATTTTCTTGCATCACTTGAAGCAACAATAACAATAAAACATGAAGAATCACTAAGTGACACTTAGTAAGTGTTTTCT